TATGAATTGCTTTAAATATTGTCAATTCTCTAATAATTCTGTTTTACGATGAATAAACGGTATATATTTACTGGCCTACATAAGAATTGTCTCAACAAAAACAAACGAACAATAGTAGTGGTTATTTTCCAATGTGTTCATAATAATATAATTCATTCTATATCAAGTACTAACTGACACACTCTGAGAATAATCCAAATAATAAATAAATGAAGAAAGAGATAATAGTTATTATATGGATCATGTGAACAATTTTTCACAATTCTAATTATACAACTATAGATATTCACTAGTTTAGTCAATCAGTAAAAGTTACAGAAAAGTTACAGACGATCGTCGGAGACATGTGATGATATGGCTGAGAATTGGTTGAAATTGCAAAGATCCATCCATTTCTTTTGTCATCCTTTAGGTCTTGAACTTTTTAAATCAGAATAGAAATTATTATGGAATGATTTAAAAAGTTCAAGACCTAAAGGATGACAAAAGAAATGGATGGATCTTTGCAATTTCAACCAATTCTCAGCCATATCATCACATGTCTCCGACGATCGTCTGTAACTTTTCTGTAACTTTTACTGATTGACTAAACTAGTGAATATCTATAGTTGTATAATTAGAATTGTGAAAAATTGTTCACATGATCCATATAATAACTATTATCTCTTTCTTCATTTATTTATTATTTGGATTATTCTCAGAGTGTGTCAGTTAGTACTTGATATAGAATGAATTATATTATTATGAACACATTGGAAAATAACCACTACTATTGTTCGTTTGTTTTTGTTGAGACAATTCTTATGTAGGCCAGTAAATATATACCGTTTATTCATCGTAAAACAGAATTATTAGAGAATTGACAATATTTAAAGCAATTCATAAGTAAAATAAGATATGATATTGATTTCGTTAGTTACTCGCAGAATACACATCAAACTTCTTAAGTTTATTTTTATTTAATGGCGATCGAGAGTTAATTATTTCTTTTCAATGATGAAAAGTAAGATCTATATTTTATCAACACTGATATTATAATAGTACCTTGAAATGTACGACATTATGATAACAGTACTGTACAGTATTTTGTCAATTTTCATTTGTATTCCTTTTATTTTAATCGTTTAAAGATCCCCATCGTATTAAAAGACTAATATTTGGATGAAGAATATTCTCTTCGATAAATTCTCCTTTTAGGTTCTACAATTATATAGTCCAAATTAATAATCCGAAAAGAAATAGCCAGGTTAAGGGCAAAGTACATCGTCTAAAGCATGTAAATCTAGGAATGTCAAACCAAATCTTTGTATTTTATTATTATTATCATTGGTTAAACATCATTATTAATCTCCCCTATACATGATTCATTCACTTCGCATTGATCCCTCCTTATTACGTCTTACTAATTTTTCACATAATTTAGTCTTTCACTTGATCGAATTGTGATCATATCTTTCTCACCCTATCTGACCCATATTTATTCTGATCACAGATCTTAAGATTTTCATTTAACACATATACAGATTCAACTTAACATTCTATATGAGCCATATCAACACTAACAATTTTATTCTACTTGGTTTGACAATCCTAAATTTACACGCTTTAAATGATGTACTTTGCCCTTAACCTTACCATTTCTTTTCGGATTATTAATTTGGATATATAATTGTAGAACCTGAAGAGAATTTATCGAAAAGAATATTTTTCGTTCAAATATCAGTACTTTTATTTGTACATGTTTTGTAATGTATGTTAGTAAAAAAGAAAAATGAATGGAAGCTAAACCTAATCTGTATTATAAGCAGAGATGGATAGTGGCTAGCAGTGGAATCCAGGACGCGCGTTTAGTACTATTTGGGACTCGTCAGCTGGATGTACCTGCATCTCAGAGTTGATGTCCATTCTGGGACTCGAACCCAGTAACTCTCGCTTGAAACGCCATCGCGTTATCCACTCGGCCACTGAGTCCTGATAGCCACTTGCTTGTGCAATGGGGTGAAGTTGAAATTTACTTAGTATTGTTTGTTTGGATCTTCCCATTGATGTTTAGGGCTGCAACTGGTCAGTCTCTAATTGACATATGTGTATACTGTGCGTATTGCGTCGATATAGCCTTAATTCACAAGCATTATAAGCAGAGATGGATAGTGGCTGGCAGTGGAATCCAGGACGCGCGTTTCGTATTACTTTCTTTATTACTTTGTTTGTAATCTGATTGAAGAGAATCTGATATTATGTGAATTTATAATTGACATTTCACTGATAACTAATTTACATATGAAATTCACTTGGTGTTGTTTTACTTGTATCTTCCCATTGTTATTTAAGATTACAATTTACATATTTATTAAATTTGTTCCTCTTATTTTCATTTCACATAATCACTAGAAAATGCAGTTTCATTTAACTCATTATTGTTTTAATTATTTTAAGGCTAGCCTTGTACTTTTATGGAATTTAATGGTAGTCAATAATTGGCAAATAATTGTGTTCGCATATCAACAAGCTGTTAACAGGTAACTGTAAAACATTTTTAATATCTATCAATTATTCATTGTTCTTACAAATGTAATCTTGTTTTAATTTGAATTAGTCTTTACAGGAATGTTTACATAGTTTATTTTCACTGGTCATTTAAATCTTCTCATTGGTGTTGAAGTCTACGATTGATCAGTCTCTTTTTGGCAAATAAGCCCATGTAGGGAGTTCCAAATTAGACGAAAAGTGCTTTCCGGATTCCATTGCTAGCCACCATCCACCCCTGCTTATAATGTTTATATAATTTAGAAATACTTTTAACTTTATTTGATGATGCCATTCGGAGAGCCACTGATCAGCTCATCGATTTGCATTCATTTGTATTAGTTGTTATTTAAAGTTTTTTCAATGTTGATACCGTTAGATGGAAGAGCTTTATGATAAATATTTTAATTTTTAGGTGACAGTTTTACATATTGACGTTTGTTGTGATACCACTGCAAAACATGGAGCAATAGACAGCTCCTTTACTCTGATTTGTGACTTTTTATTAGCTCGTAACCATAACCGCATCAAGGGTCAAAAATTCAAGTTTCTTGGTGAATTATTAAACATTAGAATTACTATTTGTTTGGGATCCGACAGTGCACTTTTTTGACGTCAGTCAATTTGCGATATAACTCAAGAATTACTTAATACCAATAGTGGAATAAATTTTCCTCTGAATATATTTAAACCTCACTGCTCATAACTTCTCACTATAAATTTAGTAACTCTCTTCAAAGTAGATCACTAGTAACCACATAATTATAGTTTTTATAAAGAAGTTTTATGGAAATTCATCATTGAATAAACTTAGTGCAGAGTAACCCCATAATATAAAACAAAACAACTGTTCAGTGCTTCCTATCACTAAACGGTATACCGATTGAGATCAGTCTCTGATCAATATCACTTATATTAAAATCTTGTTAAATAATTCAAATGAAGTCAACTACTCATAAGTTACTAAATAGTTCAATAATTAAGTTAATTCTTATACAAGTCATCTTGGCTACATGGTTCAATGAATTTTTAACTAATCTTAATATGGTAATTTATGTTATCACTAATGTATACTTTAATTAATTTTGTTTATGCTATTAAATCTATGCATAGTATAGAATACTTATTTCTTAACTAATGAATTTAGTATAAGTTCTTTCTTTTAAAAAAAAATTAACATTTAATTTTATCATGTGTTTCCACTAACGACCTTTAACTATCCTTTTTGCGCACTTTTAAAATTAACTGTAATTAACTTATATCCCCTTCTAATTAAATCTTAAATTTTATAAAGAACATGAAGAGAAAGAAATAAGCTTTTAAACACAATACGTTATCCATTGTGTTAATAGAGAACAAGTTTGCATAGGGACAAATGTTCTGTCAATAGAATCATAATTTATTCATTTTGATAAGCGAAAAAGTGTGTGAAATAAAAATGTTTCTTATCAGAAAGAGTTTTTGTGGAGATTTCGGTATTTTCATAATTGAGATCATGGTCAATTGAGACTAGACCACCAAGGAAAACCTGAAAGCACAGGACGGCCGTTTCGTCCTATTGTGGACTTTCCAGCAGTGCGCCAGGCGAGATCGTGGATGTACACTGCTGAGGAGTCTCACATTAGGACTAAACGGCCATCCAGTGCTTCCAGGTTTTCTTTGGTGGTCTAGCTTCAATTGGCTCATGATCTCAAAAATATTTCTATTTTTATTTCTAAGTGGTTAATTTTTTGTTTTGGAAAAATTCATGAAGTTTACAGACCAATGAATATTTGCTTCTTTGTAATTTCAGACTACTGAATGTAAAACTGTTAATATTATTATCGAAGACTGTTAGGCTCATTTATGTATGTTTTACTACATTGACATTTGGATACCATTTTTGACTTAATATTTTCGGGGTATATATGAAATGTAATTTGTATCATTCTACTGTTCAAATAATAGTCTCCTTCAAAATTAAATTCTATTTTTCTTAGTGGAAGCAAGTGTTTTTCCTTTGAGTTATAATGTGATTAAAGAAGATGATTGTGTTTACTACAAGAAGCTATTTACTTTCACTCAAATTATCTTGAATCTAGCATGATCACATTTAGACTTGTCAACTCTGAAGATGAACCTGTTTTCTTTTTTGCTACTTGATTATAATCCATTGCTGGACATTATACAACTTCGTTTAGTCACTAACATAGTAGAATCGCATTTCCTCTTTCGAACCATTTTTTGTGTGGTAGAATGAGTTTATTTCACAGTTTTTAACTACTCTCTTTGAAATGTTATTTCGACATTATTACGTTTATAATGCTTTGTTACATAAAAACTGTAATCTACATTTCATTGTAATGGGCTGTTAACAGGCATAGGCTTACTTATTGAAGATTCACTTGGTCAGTGATATTTTTTTTAAAAAGGTTGCTGAATTTTAAAATATTTTATACCTTGTTTATTTTGTAATTAGGTGGGTTCATATTTATATGATTAGTTGGTGGCTATTTGTTGTCGTTGGGATACTCAATTTAACTACTGCGTTCATCATCGAGGTAAGTATTTATTTGCTAAACAATAATAGCTTGTCTATCTTAAATATTTTTTATGTTGAGCACTTACCAGTATGCTTTTTTGAAGGCAGTTTGCGAACACAACAGACAATTTATAACGTTACACTGTACACCTTAGTACTTATCTTGCTATAAATTACGATTTAGCAAACGAGCGATTTGTGAATTGTTGAAAGGAATAAACAGAATCTCGATCGGTGAAAAATATCCCGCGATACGATGTGGCCAATCGATGGCTACGCTCGAGATTAAAGTATTGACGTATTCTACCAATTTTACTGATATCAGAAAACAAGGTAACTACATAGTATACCGGATTTTCTCTTCTAACAAAGTCATATATATATATATATACAAAATACTGAACATGCAACTAACTGCATTTTCTAATTTTTTTCCATGACCATGAGTGTTTTTGTTTCAATCTATTATGGTATAGCAACTTGAACTAGCGTACATCTAAGGGCTATACGTTAATGATGGTCAACTGATTAGCTTATCAACACTGAAACGATTAATTGCTATAGAATTATCCTATTCATGTTATGTTAGCTGAGATTAACTATATTCATTGTTTTAGATTCAGAAAGAACCATATTTTCATATTAATTAATGAGTTATTCACTGACAGAATTCAGCTAATAACTTTTGTAACCAATTTTTCCCCAGCAGTTTCATTATCATTTAGGAGTCTGTCAACTATTTGTACATCATTTACATTAATTAATTAAATGCTGCTTGTTTTTTGTTTAATGATATGAAATATTATTTTACCATAACTGGTTATTTTGAAAAATTTTTGAAACTTTTATTCAGTCATTTTTACATCGACGTGATTTACAACCGGATATATCAGCGTTTCAGAATCAACCGCTTGAAGTAATGAGAAATACTACCACTAATTTTCAGGAATCTCTTGGACATTCTTCAAATCAGGCTTGTTCTTCTCATTATCATAATGTTGAAAGTGATGAAGATGAAGCATCGAAATATAAATCAACGCATTTATTAGTATCATCATTATCTTTTCTCAGAAGACGATCATCTACTGAGATGATTCCTATAACGTTGGATGAAATATTCCGGTTTGTTTTCATTTTATTGCAAATTCTATCTAGTATATTCATTTTGGCCAAGTTTTTTTAAATTTATTATCAGTAGAGCTATAACTAGCAGACAAACCGAGGACTCACTTTTTATCGCATTCGGGACATTTCAGGTAAATGCATCTTCATCCCAGTGTTGATGTTCACCCTAAGATTCAAACCATTGAATCTGTCGCTTCAAGCATTAACTCAGTATTCACTCAGCTATTGAGTGAGAATATCCATTATCTTTTTCAACGGGTATACATTTATTTAGAAGGGTTGCTTACATCCCTGACTTAATATTAAGGATTGTAGTTGATTACATTGCTGGCGACAACACAGCTTTATTAAAACTTGTAACTCAATGACAAAATCGAGACAATCTGATCCATATGCACATGTGTCAATAAAGACTGATCATTTGCAGTCGTTAATATCAACAACTAAAAAATATGGATTCTTGAAAATAAAGCTTTATGATATGTTGGTCGACGTTTGTAAAAGTGAACTATTCTGAAAAAGATTAAGTACTTACTAACTTACTTAGGCCTGTTACTCCCAATGGAGCATAGGCCGCCGACCAGCTTTCTCCAACCCACTCTGTCCTGGGCTTCCTTTTCTAGTTCTACCCAGTTCTTGTTCATTATTCTCATGTCTGTCTCAATTTCTCGGCGTAATGTGTTCTTTGGTCTCCCTCTTCTCCTTTGACCTTCAGGATTCCATGTGAGGGCTTGTCTTGTGACGCAATTGGGTGATTTCCTCAAGGTGTGCCCAATCCACTTCCAGCGCTTCTTCCTGATTTCTTCCTCTGCTGGAATCTGGTTTGTTCTCTCCCACAGTAACTTATTGCTGATAGTGTCTGGCCATCGGATCCGAAGTATCTTGCGTAGACAACTGTTAATAAACACTTGTATCTTCTGGATAATGGCTTTCGTAGTTCTCCACGTCTCCGCCCCATACAGTAGGACTGTCTTGACATTTGTATTGAAAATTCTAACCTTGGTGTTGGTTGACAATTGTTTTGAGCTCCAGATGTTTTTCAGTTGTAAATATGCTGCTCTTGCTTTGCCGATCCGCGCCCTCACATCTGCATCTGATCCACCGTGTTCATCAATGATGCTGCCCAGATATGTAAAGGTTTCCACATCCTTCAAAGCTTCTCCGTCAAGTGTAATTTGATTGGTGCATATTGTATTGTATCGGAGAGTCTTGCTTTTCCCTTTGTTTATATTGAGACCTACTGCTGCTGAGGCTGCTGCTACACTGGTCGTTTTCTCCTGCATTTGTTGTTGCGTTTGTGATAGAAGAGCCAGATCATCCGCGAAGTCTAAATCATCAAGCTGCATCCTGCCTGTCCACTGTATCCCGTGATTTCCTCCAGATGTTGACGTCTTCATGATCCAGTCGATCACCAGGAGAAAGAGAAAGGGTGAGAGTAAGCAACCTTGCCTAACACCAGTCTTTACTTTAAACGAGTCGGTGAGTTGTCCTCCGTGGATGATTTGGCAGTTTAGTCCATTATAGGAGTTCCGTATGATATTGACTATCTTCTCAGGCACGCCGTAGTGTCGAAGAAGCTTCCATAGTGTCGTCCTGTCCACGCTATCAAATGCCTTCTCGTAGTCGATGAAGTTGATGTAGAGTGATGAATTCCATTCGATTGATTGTTCCACAATGATCCGCAGAGTTGCGATTTGATCTGTGCACGATCTATCCTTACGAAATCCAGCTTGTTGATCTCGAAGTTGGGCGTCCACGGAATCCTTCATCCTGTTTAACAATACTCGGTTGAAGACTTTTCCTGGTATTGAGAGAAGAGTGATGCCCCTGTAGTTGTTGCACTTGCTAAGATCACCTTTCTTTGGTATTTTGATCAGAAGTCCTTTTTTCCAGTCTGTTGGTACTTGTTCTTCATCCCAAATCTTACTAAAGAGGATGTGTAGTATCTTGGCAGTTGCTGTTACATTTGCTTTCAGTGCCTCTGCCGCGATGTTGTCTGGTCCCGCTGCTTTGCCACTCTTGACTTGTCTAATGGCCATGCTGATCTCTTCAATTGTTGGTGGGCCAATATCGATTGGGAGGTCTGTGGGTGCTGCTTCGATGTTGTGTGGGTTCAGTGGAGCTGGTCGATTCAAGAGTTCTACCCACCTGTTTCGTTGTTCTTCAATGTCGGTGATTACTTTGCCTTCCTTGTTTTTCACTGGTCTTTCTGGCTTACGGTAATTTCCAGCAAGTTTCTTTGTTGTATCACACAGTTGTCTCATGTTTCCCTCTCTTGCAGCCTTTTCCGCTGTCGTTGCTAAATATTCCACATATTTACGTTTGTCGGTTCTGATGCTCCTCTTCACTTGCTTGTTTGCCTCTGTGTATTCGGTTTGTGCCTTGGCTTTTTCCGCTTTGTTCGGTTGATATTGATTGCTGCCTTCTTGTTCCTCCTTGCTTCAATCTTATCCAGTGTACCAACAGTGATCCATTCCTTGTGATGGTGCTTCTTTTGGCCCAGAACCTCTTGACATGTTGAAACGATTGCCTCCTTGATACCTTTCCAGTTGTTCTCCATGGTAGTCCCCCCTCCATTGAGTAGATCATAAAAGGCCTGGAACCTGTTGCTGAGGGCTATGTTGAATTTGTTGAGTTTGTCAGCATCTCGAAGAAAGGCCGTATTAAACTTTTGTGATGTTATCCGCGCAGTTGTCCACTGCTTCTTGAGTTTTAGTTTCATCTTGGCGACCAGCAAATGATGATCGGATGCTATATCAGCTCCTCTTCTGGTTCTCACATCCTCCATCGTCCTCCTGAACTTTTTGTTGATGCAGATATGGTCGATTTGATTCTGTGTAGTGTGATCCGGTGAAATCCAAGTGACTTTGTGTATGTTTTTGTGTGGGAATATGGTGCCACTTATGACCAGTTTATTGAAGGCACATAGGTTTGCAAATCTCTCACCATTTTCGTTCCTTCCTCCCAATCCATGTTGTCCCATGACGTCTTCGTATCCAGTGTTGTCCATTCCAACCTTAGCATTGAGATCTCCCATCAGAATTATCAGGTCCTTGGTTGGGCACTTCTCGACGATCGGCTGCAGCCTATCGTAGAATTGGTCTTTAGCATCTTCATCGTAGTCATTGGTAGGCGCATAGCATTGGATGACGTTCATTGTAATGCCCTCTCTCTTTGTTTTGAAGGAGGATTTGATGATCCTTGGTCCATGAGATTCCCATCCAATAAGTGCATTTTGTGCTTTTCTGGACAGCATCAATACAACTCCTTGTGTATGTGGGGCATTTTCTTCTTCATGACCGGAGTATAACAGAAGTTCTCCTGAAGACAGACGTTGTTGTCCGACCTGCGTCCAATGTGTTTCGCTGATTCCAAGAACCTCCAGGTTGTATTTTCTCATTTCTGCAGCAATTTGGAAGACTCTTCCGGTCTCCCACATTGTTCGAACATTCCATGTACCAATAAAAATTGTCGCTCTGGTTGTAAGAAGGTGCATCGGCCTCATAACTTCCGAAGGAACTCGGCTTTCATCATGAGACGTCATTATTCCTTCTACTCCCAGGGCAGAGTTTAAATGGTTTGAATGATTTTTTCTGGTTAGCGTTTTTTTAGCGAGTTGATTTTCTACGGGATGGGGTCGCTAACCCCATGCCCAACCCTCCTCCTTTACCCGGGATTGGGACCGGCAGTAACCCCCAGAGGAGCTACAGGCGGAGTTAAAAAAGATTAAGTAGAATGAGAAATAAAACTATAATTAATAAATATTCATTTACTTTCAGGTATTAACTAAAATACTACTTGAATTTGTTTATTGGTGTTCATATTCGACTATGATATTCGTCTAAAAAGTATAATCGTCATAGATCACCTTTCTATGTCAATATATATCTCTAATATATATTTATATAATGCAAATCAGTGGTACTAGGATCTTTTTTTATTACAGTATCATAGTCCACTCATCATATACAGAGTTACAGCAGTTATCAATTTCATAATTAAATTATAAGTTGGTTGATTACAACTGTGATACTAATAATAATACAATTCAAATTCATTTAGTATTGTTTGTTTGAATCTTCCCATCGTTGTGTTAGGACTGCAACTGGTCAGTCTCTAATTGGCATATGTGCATACTGTGCGCATTGCCTCAATATAGCCTTAATTCACAAGCATGGTACTCAGAGATGGATAGTGGCAAGCAGTGGAATCCAGCTGATGAGTCCCAAATAGTACGAAACGCGCGTCCTGGATTCCACTGCTAGCCACTATCCATCTATGCTTACCATACAATTCAAATGTACATTTCAGCGTAAATTAAGTTTAGTATAAAACCTTACAAGAGTTAAAGATGTAATTAACTCATTAGTACAATATTTGATTAGTTTTGAGTCGTTATACCTGTTGAACTGCTGTTTGCTACCTACTAGGTTGTATTCTTTATATGAAGTCTCTTTATTATAACTATAATCAGACCAGTTAAATATTATTTACATGCATATATTTATTCATAAAAATAAGTTAGAAATATTGAAACCCTGCATACATGATGCTTTACTAATTTTATTTTTAAATTCATTACATTATGTTTTAAATTATACCGAAAAACGGATTAGTTTCCATGTGGATTAAATTTAAATTTAATTATTTGTTAAATGAAGCTTTTAATAATGTTAAAATTAAAAACACGAATTTCAGCGAAGGGATCTCTTTTCAACGAATTTATTATCAAGCTGTACAATCGTATATATATATGAAAAAGTTTTGTTAAAGTACTAATTCCGTGAGGAAATGTGAACACTAATAACCAAGATTATAATACTGGATTACGTAATATGAATAACAACAATAGATTTAGTGAATATAGTAAGACAGATAAAATGTTTTGGTTACAATAATTAAAGGTCATTAAAGGTCATAGAGGTGTAAAATAAATAAATAAATAAGGTGATGAGTATTCATGAATAAAATAATAAGAATATAAAACATAAGTAAAGGGGAATGGAGTAATAATAATAATAATAAAAGAATGATAATAATAATAATAATCTTAAGGCCATGGTAACGATAATGATAAAACGTACTTCTTTTGTACGCATAGTTCTGGTTTGAGCTCATGGATGGTAAGAGCTTCGGCTATTTTTTAAGAGTTTGATACGAAGAAATCTTGGTAGATTTGAACGAATCATATAAACAACCTTAAAATCAGACTGTGGATTCGTCGAATGATTACAGTCGATTAAGTGTTCAAGTATAGAA